AAGCAAAAGGTGAAAAACGCGAAAGCAGTGAAGTTCTAGTGATTTTGCTGTTAGGTGTCGGTATCTGGACTAATCTAATGGAGTAGTTAAGATTCCTTACGAGGGCCAGGAGACAGAGTGGGGGAGGAGGAAAAACCAGGAGAGAGCACACAAGAGAAGGAGAAAGAATGAAGTATAACAGGGAATGAAAAAACTCAGCCTAGGAAATGTACTAAGTAAACCTTCATTATGCACATCAAGTCATTTTGTTTTCGTACATGAATGTATCCTGTAAAACCTCTGTTAAATGCCCAGGCTCAGCTGTCTGTCTGGCAGCGTTTCCAGATCCTCAAGGGCCATGAAGACAATGGAGTCCTGGAGCGCCTGTTGTTAAAACCACATTCTTGTTATCGGGAATGTCTGTCAAAAATAAAGAAATACAGAGCGAGAGTAATTCGCAGCCCAGGACAGGCACAGCTGTAGACTAGGGGTTCCCAGGAGACCCCGGGATCTGGAACCGAGCGGGTTTTCTCCGTCTCCGACTCGCCAACGTCTGAAAGCTGTCCGGGAGGGACAGATCCAGTTTGATCTTCATGGGATCAGTTTTAATCTTTCTCCCGGCCGAAGAGCTGATTCTCACATGAGGAGATCAGGAAAACCTGCTGACTTCGGGGTGATCGAACCCCTGCTTCTGCTTCAGGAGGTGCACACAGAGTGGCGCCCCTTTGCTGCAGCATATAAGAAAACCGGGACCAGCATTTAACAGACGTTTTACTGTTTTTGCTCCCGTAATGCTTCTAACGGCTCACCTGTCTTTCTCCTTTTCCACCTTTGACCTCCTGACCTCTTGACCTTCCTCCTTGCTCCTCTGTGGCAGTGCCCCACCCGCTGGTACTGGAAGCTGGTTCCTGTAAGTGGCTGCTCTCTCTTCTCCTCTGTTCTTTCTCTAACTCTCTCCCCTTCTCGTCGTGCCCCCCGAAAGGCGACAGGACCAGCCAGCACAGCGCTCCCGGCCGCTCTGCATTGCGCTTCGCCCTGGCAGTGTGCAGAGAGATCCATGTACACTCACAGCAGCTGTCTGGGCTGGTGCTGGCATCTCCAGTGTGTTAATAATGCCGGAGGGGGGAGGGGCCGGGGGCGGGGCCGGGAGGGGAGTGGGTGTGGTTGGCTTGGAGTAGGAGGAGCCTGTCTTATAGGGCAGAAGTATAGATTTGTGCATGATACCCTATATCATGTGTGTCAAAGCCACGGATTCTGGGATACTCCTGCCCCATCTGCCCTGCTCTGCCCTAAAATATCATTTTGCCTCGCACTTACCCCAAATTTTTTTCTGTCTATATATTTTTTTTACCCCTGCTGTTTATCAGTCTCTCCTCTGAGTTTGGTCTCAGACCACTTTCCGCTGGCTCCCCTGTCTCGGGCTGACCGGGTCAGACGGAACCACGCCTCGCTTGGTGTTGGAGCAAGTGAATCGCCATGCCCCGTCTGCCATATTCCTGAGAGGTGCATTCTGTCGCTCGTTACAGATCAGACACAGGGTGGGGAGCATTCAGGGATGGCCTGCGTTCTCCCTGTGGCTTACGTCTAGTGTGAACCTGATCATTTTTTTAGTTTTTTCTCCTTGACTTGCAATCCCAGCATCCGTTGCTGTGACACAACCTTATTCGGGGACGTGTGTGTGTTGAGTTAAAGCCCACTGAGCAAGTAGGCATACATCATTGAGCCATATCCCCTGTCTCTTGGATCACAGCCACGGCCTCTAGCACAGAAATGACCTGAAGGGTCTTGTGGTGACCCCAGCCCTGTTTCCCGAATGTCCGAGTCTGGGTTCTTCAGCATTTACTGTGCGTGTTTCTTCAGTCTGGGGCCCACGATCAGGGCCATAATTGCATCATTAGTCAATTGCTCCTCCTTGAGCATTTTAAATGTCCCACGAACTGTGCTAAAATAGGGTGATGTTGATTAGAAACCCCACACACAAGAATTGGGCCCAATCCACATTTGTACCCCCAGCCACTGGCATGATCTAGGAGACGATCGAGGGAGGGCGGGGAAGAGGTGTGTCATGTATAGTATTATTACCAAGTGGAATGATCCTATTTACATGCCTTTCTGATCCACCCACAAGCCACACCTCCTCCAGCCCCCAATCAGAGAAGCTGCATGCATGGTCACATGACTGTCTTTCCCTGTTGCCCCGCCCCAGACCCCGCCCCTGTGACTCTTGGCAGCTCAGTCTGTGACATGGCATTTATGCTTCTCCTTTCTTTGCCATTTGCATTCAGCATGCCATCGCTTTTTGTTTGAAGGAGTCTGGGAGTAAGCCTCCTGTGGTAATGTATTGTTCAGTTTCTTCCAAAAGTAGAGACAAGTCCAGTATACACATTTACTTCACAAACCAGAACACTTCCATTCTGTTCTAACTGGATTACTGTGTTTTGTTTTTAATTCTCTTTGACCACTTTATCATTCGTTTCGTTCATTTTTTTGACTAAAGGGGGGGTACAGCACTGCTGTTATTTCTCTGTTTGGAGAGCCGCTTGTCTGTGTTTTGTTAGGTTTAGAGGCTGAGCGTATCCGGAAAAAAAATTGACTTTATTTTTGATAAGGCACCACTCTTAAAGAATAGATCGTCCTGGGTCTGTGCAACAAAGCACCAGGCACAAAACGGGAGGAGACTCAAACCAGCAACACTGCCTGGAACAGTAAGGAGGCCATGTGCTCTGCAGGGCCAGATGCGGACGGTCACACAGATGGACAGAAGATACTTGTTAAAACAGGCGTGGAAGAGTAGCTGTGAGGTTGAAATTAAAGCAGAGGAAGGGGATCTGCAGCACAGAGACCACAATAGCGGGCATGATGTCCCAACGAGGGCCAAGAGCTCCGTAACCCTCTTTCCCTTCCCCCCCGACTTCAGTGCTGGACTGAAGTGGCATGCTGTCGGTTCGACTCGGCAATCATCGCATCAGTTCGCAGCCACCCCGGATCAGGCCTGCTCTCTCTGGGCTCTCACACTCCCATTAAACCTTAAAAATTCACGAGCAGGGGCCGAGCAAAAGGAGGTCAGCGTGCTCCGAGGGATGATTCTCGCCTTGTTCGCTGCGCATCAGCAGCTCTGAGCTCGGGCGAGCTGGAGCAGGGGGAGGGGCACAGTTCTGGCACAGCGCTGACTGTTTGAAGCAGAAGAAGCCGTTCTGTGTTGTGCAGTTACTGTCACAGGGCCCTGGCCTGTTAAAACAAGCGGCCATCACACCACAATCGATACGTACTGCAGGCCAATATCAGGCACAATGCAGAGCAGGCACAAACACCAAGTACTTACTGGACATGGATCAAAGTTATCGGGCCAACTCTGGGAGCAGATACCCTGTGGTCTTTTAAAATGAAATGTCCTTTTAAATAATGGGGAGGATTGGGTTGGGAGTTCGTTTCAGGTGAGCCGTTTTGTTGGGTCGTAGAATCAGTACGAGCATTTCCTAGGACTGTCGCGCTGAGCTACCCTCCTTTTACTAAAAAAAACAACCCCCACCAGCTCACCTGTTTGATTTCAGTTTTGTTTTCCGTTCCCACTCCAACACATTCAGGCATTGTCCTCCTGCATCTTGCTGTCTTGTGAGCTTGCTGGACCATTTTCTTTCCTGTCGCTCGTCTGCATGAGGGGGCTGGGAGGGAGTGTTTCGTCTCTCTGTCCTGTGTGTGTGTGTGTGGGGGGGGTCAGACTTCCTCCGCTGCTCTGATGTGCCTGTCCCGCACCCTCGCTGTTTGCGGAACGCCCCTGTCTGGCCGCTCTGTCCTGTGCTGTGTCGTGCGACGCCGCTGGGTGTATTTTATCGTAGTCCTCGTCTCTGCTGCTGTCTTTCTTTTACCTTTTGTGGGTTATGCCGATTTTTCTGGACTGTTGGCTGGCTTCGCTCGTGACAGGGGGGAGGAGGGGGGCAGTTTTGATTTCTTTCATTTTTGTTTTCCTGACCTCGTAGACCGATTCTCTGGCTTTCTGGGGAAAGTAATGGTGTCCTCTAAAGATAACTGATCAGCCGAATCGAATGATTGGCTACTTAGTTTAGGCCAGATGTTAAACAGGAGACTTTGGGACATTGCAGTTATTTAATTGAGATGTAAGAAGAAAGACGTAGATATATTTTTTTGCGTGGCGCTGCGGATAACAGAACAGAGCATTTTGGCTGACTATAATTTGGCCAAGGCAAGTCAGGAAGTAAGAAGGGGACGTCTATCTGTGTTACACACACTTTGCACAGCAGTAAGTCACCAATGAGCTTCAGAGCATTGTGCAACACCGATTTACCACCCCCACCGCTATCACTAGTGCTGAATATTCTAGGTGTCCACAGACCTGATTTTGGCATCAGGGAAGTGCCAACAATTTATCTCAGTCAGGCCTGCACTCTTGCTACAGCTTTTTAGGGGGTGCACTTTATTCACCTGAAGTTTTGGGGAACTGGGGTGGGGGGTAGATAGGGCAAATTCTCCACACTGAAGGCATTAAGGCTTGGTGAGGGTACCTCAGGGATTATAGAAGAAACAAGTGGCAAATCTCTGGGGAGACTTGGTCGTTAGCTGGCATGATCAGTGCATGACGAACCAGGCTCTGCCATTAAGGAGCGGGCGGTGCCGAAGTCCGGGCCTGGAACAGTTTGGAATGGTTCGGCGTTTGAGCTCCCAGCACACCTCCCTTCCCCGGTCGTGAGGGATTCCTTAGGAGAGAGGAATCCTTCCTCCGCCGGCCGGCCGGTCCTCACCCTCTCCCCTCTCGCTCTCAGATCCGCTACAGGAAAGACAAGATGCTGCACAAGCAGACGCCCACCTTCCCGCTGGTGGCGGGCACCAAGGACCTGTCCAACGGCTGCGCCATCGCCGCCGTCGTGCACTACTACTGCCCCGGCCTGCTCCGCCTGGAAGGTGTGTGCCGGCGCTGTCTGTTCGTCCAGCGTCTCGTCCCCGTGCCCTAAAGCCCCCCGCGTCGGTCCTAAAGCAGAGGGACCGGCTGAGGGGGGCTCAGTCGCCTTTGTTTCGCCCAGACATGGCCCCCGGTTTCCCCAGGGTCCCGCTCTCAGCTGTCAGTTGGTTTTGGTCTTTTCTTGAGCAGGAATCTGCCAGGCTTTAACAGTGATCAAAGAGGTGCTATATTTCATAATGCATCGATATAGCGCCTTTCATCACAATGGATCTTGGCCCACTTCCTCCCACCGATGTGCAGACCCACTGCACAGATCAGAGGGAGGGGTGAGACGCTGCTGTACAGCTCAATTAAGAGCCCAGAGCCAGGAGGCTGTGCCATCCTTAAGGCCAAATAGTTTAACATCAGTCTGAAGATTGCAAATATAAGTCAATCCGAAGTTCACTTCTGTCTTTCACTTTTCATAGTGCTTCCAACACCAGAAGATTCAGTAACGGACCATTACTAGTCCAGCTGCAGCTGTGAAATAGGGCAGAGAAACCTGCAGTACCAGTCAGAGACGACACCCCCTGCTGGTTTCCTCTCACCAGCTTCGCAAGAGTGCAGAAATCTGTGGAGAGGGCTAACTGGGTCAATGCATTGAATTTCAACTATTTTTGGAACAGCTGCAGAATTGGGGTTTTCAGTATTGGTGGTGGCATATTTGTATACATCACATGTCTCGAAAGGCCAAAATCAATATTAATAGAGGAATCTAGTAGAAAATAAAGGCACAAGCAATCCTCAGGTTAAAGGATCTCTGAACTACCTCCCGGAGACTTTTAAATGAGCCCCAGAAAGATTCTACATGATATCAAGTGGTTTGTGTTAATTGTGGGCCCCACTGCTCACTGACTGACTGTGACTGTCTGTCTCCTGCTGCTCTGCTCCCACCACAGACGTGTGTTTGAAGGACACCATGTCAGTGGCTGACAGCCTGTACAACCTGCAGCTGATCCAGGACTTCTGCCAGAGCGCTCTGAAGAGCTGCTGCCCCCTAGCGCTGGAGGACCTCCTGTACGCCCCGCCTGCACTCAAGGTAAGTCAACCAGGTGGACTCGGAGCGCTTTAGAGACCGGAAGTGCTTTTGCCCCCTGCCCCCGACATCTCGTTAATTCCTCTGTTTAATGGATCGTTTGGATTCAGTGAAGGCAGCTGATGGGACTGGGGATCGGTCAGTCTGTCTGCGGGCTCATTCAGAACGCAGCTCTGTATCCGGATCCCATGAGCTCGCTGTTCCCCTGGTCAGTGGCTGTGCTTTGACCCAGTTCCCAGCAGGGCGGCGCTGTCCGTTCTCCACTCACCTGCTCTCTGGGGCAGTGGGAGCCCAGGAGTCTGCCCTGGACAGGGAGTCCTGCACAGAAATGAGGGCAAAAGAAATCCATTAAATCGGCCGTCTTTAAAAATTGGCCCAGCGCAGGCGGAGTTTGTCAAGGGTCATTGTGGCTGTGGGCAGCCCTCTGCACGAACGGCCTGCGAGTTTGGGTCTGCCCACCGTCTCTTTCTGTCCCACGCTTGGCACTGTCCGATCCAGGCCTGGCTGGCACCACAGGTCCTCCCCTCACCCACCCGTCTGCCACCTCACAGGACGCACAATTCTCCGCTAATTGTTTACTAACGAGCTCTGAAACAAGAGGGTCTTTGTGCCTGTGTGTGTAGATTCAGGGATTCAGGAGGGCAAAGTGTTAGAGGGGTCCCCTCTCTTCCATGCCACCCTGCCAAGCAGCACAGTTTCGTGTGAGCTTCTGAAGAGAGCGAGGTCCCGGCAGATTCGTGCAGAAACGAGCTACAGTTCTGTCTCTCCTGCCCTCTGGCCAGGACGCACCACTAACAGTTGTGGGGCTGTTTTGACAGGTGAACATCATGACCTTCATGGCCGAACTGTTCGGCTGCTTCGAGGTGCAGAAGCCGGATTTCGTTCAGCCCAAAGAGCCCCTGGACCTGCAAGGTACTTGAGACCGTGAGGCCCAGGGCATACGAGCAGGGAGGGGCGGCCCCGGTCAAGCGCAGGCAGGAAGCTGGCCCGAAGCCTTGTGTTGCCGACAGGGAGGAGAAACCCGTGTTTCAATACCGTGGAGGGGGTCTGCTGTGCACGTGTTAGCACTTCGCGCGGCCTGGCTTCAGTTCGTGGGGTGCGGTCTGTGTGGAGTTTGCATGTTTCCCCTGGGTC